AAGAAACTGAAAATTTAAATATTTTAAGAGATGAAAAATTGATTAATGATAAAATTGGAGTGGTATTAGCATTTGATGGATGGAAAAACATTTTAAAACAACATATATTTGGATCATTATTAATATTATCTTTAGGCAAAATTTTAATATAGGATGCTTCAGATATTAGTAGTGAACGAGAACGATTAATTGAAGTAATACTAAAAATAATAGAATTGATTCAAAAGATTAAAAGATTAAGTATTAAACTTAATGCAATTGTATCTGATAGTGTACTAGCTTATGCTGCAATACGGTAAGTAAAATAAATAAATATTAATGTTTGTATTATTTAATTTAAAATTAATATTTATTTAATAATTTATTAATAGACGATGACTTTGATTAGAATATTCAGAAATTGTCTTTCTTTCTTGTTTTACATACCAATGTCAATTAGCAATTTGTGATATTTTTAAAGAATCACTAATCTTAAAATATGCATCTAGTAAAGCAATTACAGTTGCTACTTATTTTAAAAATGCAAATAACAGTTATTTTATTGGTAAATTACAAGATATTCAGAATGAGCTATATAACAATTATTATTCAATTATAATTTCTGATGAAACAAGATGGAACAGTCATTATTTCTGCTTTAAAAGTCTTATTCGATCTAAACAAGCTTTGCGAATAATATAATTTTTCAATTAATTATTATTTATAATAATATAATAATATAATAATTATTTTTTTTTTTATTTAATTTTTAGAATTTAGCAATTTGTCACGAACGTCCACAAATTGGTTCAGAAAATACCAATAAACTTTATCTAAATCCAGAACTTTGTCGAATACTTCTTGATAATGATTGGTGGGAAAAAATTGAACTTTTACAAAATATTTTATTACCTTATTGTAGTGTTTTAAATAAGTTACAATGTGATAAAGCACGTCTTTTTGAAATGCTTCATGCTTTTGGTTATTTTATGCAATTTTGGAAACATTTTTCAAATTTAGATTTAGGAAATCAAATGATTAATCGATTAGAAAAACGTTAGAACTAATGGGAGTAACTATTATTATTACTTTCCTTTGTACTTCATCCAAAATATCAGTTTGGCTATTTTAATTCTGAACTTAATAATTTGTCATTTACTTCTCTAGGACGATATTTGACATACTATTATAAAGCATGGTTTAAAAAACACCCATTACAATTATTATTGGACTTTGAGAATTTTCATCAGAAAGTTGAACCATTTAATAATGAAACATTTGAACAATTTGGAGATGATGCCTTTAAATTTTGGGAATATGTAGAAGGGGATTATAAAGAATTGGCTGCAGTTGCTTTGAAACTTTTTGGCATGTGTGTAAATGCAGCTTCTGTTGAATGAATGTGGTCTTCCATGAGTTTTTTACATACAGTTCGTCATAATAGATTAAAGGTAAATTAATTTTATATTTAATTATAACAGTTATTTAATTTTTTTTGATGGCGGTTTATTAATTTATTTGATAATGGTTTATTAATTTCTTTTTATTTAATTATGGGTTCCTTTATTTATTTATTTGATAATAGGTTATTCATACATTTTTAATTTATTTGACAGCGGGATTATTTTATTGATGAATTCTTTATTTCTTTATTTTGATAGCAGATCTTTTTATTTACTTGATGATGTATCTTTGTTTATATTTGTTTGCCAAATATTTATTATTTTTATTTTATTTTAATAGAATGATAAAGTATTAGTAATGAGTCAACTTCAGATGTCTATTAACTTTTCATTAAGAGAAAAAGAATTACAACAAAATCAAGTCAAATTTTTAGATTCAAATGTTTCTCCAATTGAAACTGATTCTGAAGTTCTTGTTGAAGAAATTGATGATATTGATGAAGATAATACTTTTATTACTTCTGAACATTGGGAACAAGAATTAAATGAGTGGGAAGAAATGTTAAAGGAAGAAGAGTTAGCACAATTGGAAGAGGAAGAGGAGTTAAAAGATAATCCAAATATCAGTATGAGAAGTGATCTTTAAACGAATATATACATCCAGCAATAGACAAAAAAGCAAAATGGGAGCTTAGAAATTTATTCAATTCAACTCTCAATGCTCCTGATTACTTAAATGTAGAAGAATCAGCAGTTTTTTCATTCAATATATGGTTTCCGTTTGAAATTCGTCAATTTTGATTATCAATCACTTCGAATGATCCTTTTTTTTGGTTTTTTTGATTCCTTTTTTTCGTTTTTTTTTATTATTTTTTTATTATTTTTTTTGTTAATATTTAATTTATTTATTTTATTTTTTATTTTTTATTTTTTTATTTTTTTTTTTTTAATTCGTATTTTTCGTTTCGATGTTTTGATATATATATATTTTTTATTTTTTAATTTGTAATTTTATTTTTTTTTAATTTGTTTTTTATTTACATTGTTAATTTTCTAAATTTTTCATTTTTTCATTTTTTTTTATTTAATTTTTTTAATTTTTTTTTTTTAATTCATTTTTTTCGTTTTGATATATTTTTTAATTTGTAATTTTTTTTTTCTATTTTTTTATTTTTTTTTTTACATTGTTAATTTTTTTTTTTTATATTTTCGTTTATTAATTTTCGATATATATATATATATATATATATATATCTTTAATTCCTTTTTTAAATAGGTAAGTGTTTTATTTCTTTTTATTTATTTTTCTTTCATTTTATTAATTTTCAATAATTAACTTTTTTTTTTAATTAAATTTTTCATTTTTTTATTAATAATATCTAACGAAAAGACCAAAATCACAAAGTAATAAATATTTATTTAATTTAAATTTTTTTTTATTTAATTTTTTTATTTAATTTTTTTTTTATTATATAGAGCATTCTCTTCGAGCCTTTAAGATTAGTCTTTTAAGGCTTCTTCAGAGGGTTCTTCAAAATGTTTATTTTTTTTACTTATTAATATTTCTCCTTTTTTTAGGAATGGATCTTTCGTTCCCTTAGAATATGTAAGTCTTCTTTCAGATAGATTTTTCATTATTTCTTCATTTTTCTAACTTTTTTCATTTTTTTAGAAATGGAATCTTTCATTCTCATCGGAAAAGATAAGCCTTCTTTCTGGGGTTCTTTAAGTAGATTTCGTTATTTTACTTCATCATTTTTCTAATTTCCTTTCTTTTTTTAGGAACGGTTTTTTGTTCTTTTCGGATAAGGTAAGTCTTTCAAGTGATTTTTTAAGGGATTCTTTTTAAGATAATTCTTCTTTTTTACTAACTCACTCTCTTTTTTTTAGGAGCGAATCTTTCGTTCTTGCCAAAATGAGGAAATAGGAAACTCTGCCAGCTAAAAGACAGTAATGGTAAAACTTCTACTTCTCAAATTTGAACTAGAGAAAAATTATCAGATATCTCTTATTATTTTTATTCAGATAGGTAAGTCTTCATTTGGGATTCTTTAAGAAATTCATTATTTTACTAACCTTTTTCTTTTTTTTTTTAGGAGTGAACATGAATTTTATCTGCCAGATAGAAGAAATTTTGTTTTAGTATATATAAAAAGGTTCTTTAGAAATAGTTCTTTCTCTTGAATAGGTTGGATTCTTTAAGGGCTTCTTTTAATAGTAAATTTTTTTTTTTTTTTTACTTTTTTTACTTTCTTTTCAAATAAGTTCTTTAAATTTTTTTTGTCTTTGGAATTTAACAAAAAAAAAAAATAAATAAATTCATTTTATTACTTTGTAATTACGATTCTTGTGTTAGTTATTATAAAAAGAAATAAAAATTTAAATTAATTTATATAATTTCGTATATTTTTTTGCAAGTTCAATGATAAAAAATTTCATTTGATTTTATTGGATAAAAATGTGTCACGTGATAATATGCTTCCAAACTTCCAATAAAAATTTATTGGAATTGGAAGTATGATTGAAATTGGAAGATTTGGAAGTCCAAATGTGCTTTCAGCTTCCAATACACATCACTGGTTATATCAATGATTATTTTGGATTTCTATCACAGCACTCATTTTATGTTATCATAAATATGTGGTATTATACTATTTGTCACTACGTGATTTATGACGTCTTCAAATTGAGTGTGACCAATTTCTTACATATTGAGATACGTTTTCTGACAAAGTAATGTATTGCAATATCAATAATAAAACATTCTTTTATTAATGCATATTTTCTTTTTAAGACGTTGACTGACAGTTATTTCTCCACTATTTATTGCTTTCAGTTGAGTCATCAAAAATACATCTTATTCAGATCTGAAAAGAGCTTGAAATGCCTTACATAATTCAGCAAATTTTTCTCTTAGAATCATTTTCGAATAACCACAATTACAACCTATCTTCAAGGAATGCATGGCTTTTTCATATTCAGTGGAGCTATTATATTCATTATTTATCATATACAGATAGTCTTATATATAAATTTTACAAACTGTATAGTATTGTTACTTTATTCATAACTATGTAAGCCATTTACAAACTCTGATACATAAATCATTAGCTAATATTTGATATTAATTACATATAGCAATCTAATAAATGCAATAATTCAGACTTCTTTTTAAGAAACAACTTCTTATTATAATTTTGAATTAACATACCAAAATCAGTCAAATAGATATATCCTCTTTCATCAATCAAGCAGAGGCGATAATCATTTAGAGAAGCAAGAAATTATGTGCATAATTAACGTTTTAACCGTTTAAATAAGAAAGTCACTTGAAAATTAATTCTGTCATTAAAATGATACACTATAATAAGGGTAGTAGTTCTGAGCTAATTTAGTAATATTTCCCTAGTCAATTGAACACACCTATATAAAGATTTATACTCTTTCATTTCAGACTCTTAATTGAGGATTCTATTGATTGTAATAGTAATTTGATTACAAGTTTTTATTTAATAAGACACTTTTCTCAGACCAAAACAAAACCTACACACTGAATCATTACATTATTCTTTTAAGTCTAAACGCATGTAAATAAGATTTTCATTTATTAACAACTACTAATTTTCATCTCAATTTTAGTAATAATAATATGGGATAATTATGCTACTCATTATAGTAACATTCTCTCAATAAACCCATAATAAAAATAATAAAATAAATAAAGATTGATAGATTTTTTAATTCTTATAATGATGCTTAAGTTTTAACAGTTGTCAATCATATTAAATTTATCTAATAAAAATTGATTTTTTGCTATAGTGACAATTGGTTGAACATTATTTATACAACAATATTAAAACTTATATTTGAAATATATTTTATTTTTGCTAATATTAATGCAGTTAATACCATCACTATTAATATTCAAATGCAATCAAATCAAGCATCACTAGTTTAAGATAACCATTTCAGAATAACTCTTCTAATTGATGAATTAGACTATCATAGTCTAAATGTTGAGCTTTATTATATATTACTTCACTAAATTCAAATCTTACATAGCATTTCCAAAAATCTGTAACACTCTGGGCTATTTAAATCACTCCATCTTCTTTTCTAAAAGAAAGTTTTGAAAAGTAATCAGGTTCATGCAACATAATATAAATACTCTGGATAAAACTGATAAAACTATATTCTGGTTTATATACAAAAGGTTCTTAATTCTTGCTAGCACATAATCAGCAGCACAATCCATACCTCTAGCAAAAGGCAATGTCTGATTGCCATCTACATCACATTTCCAATTAACAAAAATAAGTATTTCAGATGTACAATCATGTATAATATTCTGTCTCTATAAATCTCAATATTGAATTCCAGATGTATATATTTTTTGTAAAGTCAAAATAATGTGAGATATATCACTTTTTTGCAAATATCTAATATTATTACATAATGAAGTCATAACCAAAGAGATGTCATCATGGAGAATCAAGTGTAGAAGACTTGCAAAGTTAAGGGTTGACAATTTCTTCATTATAGTATGAAAGGTGTTTCTGAAATTTATCTGGGTGTTTCAATATTTTAATTGCAACAGACTGTCCCTCATATTCTTCTTTGTATAAAATACTTATCTTTTCTATACTTACAAACTAAAATAACTTTACCAGAGTTTTGTTGTCATATTGTAATTCAGGTTCTATTCAACTAAGTAAGCTGGATTGTTAACTAAGTAAGGTTACTAATCATCTCAATTCTAGAGGTGGAGTGCCAATACCCTCATACTTTAAAGATTCTCATATTGTATATCAGTATATGAATGTTTCAAAGGAATTAGGATTTCTTGCTACTTCAAATAGCTGTATGTGGTGACAATTTGTGAATATTGCAAATACAAAATGACGTCTTGATTGTAGTTGCAAGATTTTCTCTGCAAATGCTACCACTTGCCTAATGTTCTGATTGGAGAACTGAGTTTTTCATTGTAGTTTAATTTCAATTACTATCTCAACATTAAGGAAATCTAACCCATGATCTTTATCTATTATTACACAATCAGATTTTCTTGTCAGCAACACTGAAAATTTATGAGTATCTTCTACAGAAATTCGTTTATAAGAGAGCTTTGAATAAACATTAATAAAATAGACTTGGTAATATTCTTCATTACTATCTGTGGATAGGTTTCAAAAACGTTCTATATGACAGCATTTTGGCAAAGTTGCATTTGTTAATTAGAATAGAAAGTTCATTACTTGGCTACTCTTCATCATAGTTTTATCCTTTTCTCTTTCAGTTAATGAGCCTATAATAATAAAATTGTATTGTAAGGCTTATAATCCAGTACAGTATATAAAATTTAGACCAAAAGTCATGTGCATAAGTTGTACTAAAAATAGAAAATTAATGCATATATTACATAGTATTTCCATTTTTATAAATAATTTATCCATTTTTATATATAATTTATCTATTTTAGTAATTATTTGTGTACATTTTATGCTGTATAATATGTACACACAAAAATTTAATGTGCATATGTGCACATTGTGCACATGAATTTTACACACTGATTCAGCAATAGAATCAATATATTAAAAAAAGTCAAACATATTATAAAACGTAAGTAAGGCTTCAAAAAGTTAGACCTTGAGCCTCTTTACATCTCGGTTAACCACCTCAATATTTCTTTTAAAGGACATTAATATACCTTCAATAGAAGTTAATAGAAATAAATAGAGATAGAGAAAAAAAGAGGAGTTATATGAACTATTCTCTGTCCCAATACTTAAGTCATAAAGTCATTACCTATTTGAGCCGTTATTGCTAAGAGTGCCTCTTGGCACCTTCTAACATCTTCTCTACACTTCACAACCTTCATTTCCAGGCTCTTCTCCTTCACTGTGAGTTCATCATATGACTGTTTCTCTAACTCATCAAATCCTTCTTTTCTCCGCAACTTTTCCTTTAATTCTGATAACTACTTTCCTTTATTCTCGTCTTTCTTAAACTCTTGCAATGCCCTCTTGATATTATTCAACTTCCACTCAATACTGTTATATAGCTCTTGTTCAGTTTTCTTGACAGTTGCTATTTCTTTTTTTGTTAGTAGTAGAGAGAGAGAAAGATGTGCTACGCGTGATGTGATCTAATACCATAATATACTAATGCTAATCAGTAGCTTAATCAATAATATATGCAAAATGATCAATGATAATTGATGTACAGCATAACGCATATTTGTCTATTTAAGCATCATCGTAAAATTTTATTATAGAAGCAAGCACTAGTCACTTACTTTCAGGAAACTAACCACAACTTGATAAATATCGTTTAAAAAGATAAAAATCAGATCTAAAAATTTTCATCAATCACGTTTTGCAAAAAATGTTCACATTCACAAGCGAATTCTTTCTTGAAGTATTAATTGAATTCGTTCTTAGTTTATTAGTAAATTAGTTAATCTATAATAGCCAACTCAATCGTACTAGCACGTTGTTTAAAACTAAAAAGTTAAGAAAGTTACAACTATTAATAAAACAGTCAAATAAAACTTACTTGCTAGACCTTGAAAAATTGTAGAATGATCTAAGACAATTATACAACAAACGAACTGAATTGGATCCTAATTTTTCTTTTAACAAAATGGTATTTGAAATCCATAAGTGACTTGATAAAGAAAAAGCAATTGCTACATCTATAGTATGAAATTTTTACTTGCGAAGAACAACTCTGCAGAAAAAATCTATTATGGCAATCCAATCTTGGATTGACGAAGAAAGAAGAAAGATGTAAACTACTCAGACAGGGAAAATGAAAATGAAGTAGATGATAGTAGTAATATTATTACTAATAGCAATAGTAAAGAAGATACTAAAATTTAAAATTTGCACTGAAGTGATCAAAGAATAGGTTATACTCATAAATAGCTTTAAGTTCAAGTATTTTTCTCCTATGCAATCACTTTAGTGCTTTTACTATTATTTATATTTTAAGAGTGCACATTCATTAATCGAAATAATAAATTTATGCTTATGCAAAAAATTCTTTATATATAATTGACTCTTGTAATTGTATCAAAAAGTAAAATATGAATCAAGCTCAACAAATAATATTTTGTTGATAAGCTGAGGCCTTGATGAAAATTGCTTTCCCTTACCTATCTTTTAATTTTCATTTCTTTCTTAGTTGAGGTTAAGATTCGTTTATTAGTTATGATTTCCTTTTTTTCTTGGTAAATTTCATAAGTAATTTTTTCTTGATCTAAATATTCCTGAAGAGTTTGGGTATCATTGATTTTAAAAACATAAGAAGCAATTTTTTCTCCTTGCTCTTTTTTTAGAATGCTTTGAATAGTACTGTAATTCTTTAGTTTCATGGTCGATTTAATGTAAATTAGTTTCATATTAATATTTTTATATATAGAGATAATTTTATATTAATCATATTATGGTTTATATTTATCACATTTTGGTATGATAAAGTGAACATTAAAATTAACCAGTCTATCAGTTATGAATGAGCATCATTATTACTTTTCAAAATGTTATCAGTTACATCATAATCAGTCTCTCATTTATGTTACATAATCAAATGTTTATTTTATCTGTTTTTGTTGCAATCTATCCCATATTATATATAATTATTTAATAATTAATTATCATTTTGAATTTTTTTAATAGTTCAAAAAAAGAAATAAATATATAAGTAGGAGAAGGTAATTGGCTAATAAAAGAATATATAAAAAACATCTATAACATAAACATGATTATAATATTTATAAAGATAAATGACTTCAAAAAAAAGCAGATGAAGTATTAGGTATCAAAGATTTTATTCTGATTAAAATCTAAATAAAATATCTAAATTTTATTTATTTATTAAAAAAAATATCACTGATGCTAATATCAATGTTATTACTATTACTAATGCTAATATCAGTACTAATAAAAATGTCAATATCAAAGCCAATGTCAATGCCAACACAACGATTCAGGTCAAAATAAATTAATTCAGAAGGTATCAAATTGGTTCTGAAATCTTTGGATCGTTGATATCTTTACGACATGTAAAAAATTCATACATTTTAGCCAAATTTATTATAAATGATGGTATAGTTGATTGTTATCCTGACTAAGTCTAATATTATTTTACACATAAGGTCAATTTGCCATCTGGAAAGGCTGAACATTTTCTAGTATTTGTTCATTAGTATAAACCTGCAAGTTCTCCAAATATGCGGTATTATTTTAGCGAAGAAGAAATATGTAATGTCAAATTATGAAATACTGAATTTTATCTAAAAAGTCGTGATTGTATAATACCAGTTCATCATATTTTAGGTCAATTTTTACTGATTAACTATCAAATTTCAGTCTGGTGAAATGCAAAAGAATATTTGGCTGTTAATCCAATTAATAGAAAATACCATTTGTAAAAATAAATTGAATCTTTTTAGCATTATTTGGCTGTTAATTCTAAATATCAGTTATATTTCCTTCTGAATTTTATTTTTTTGAAATATTTTAGTCTATTTTTGATGTATATCAATCAGATATAAATTGAACGTCAATCGGCTATAAATAAGATAGGTCAAATTTTAGTTTATTTTTGATATATATCAATCAGATGTAAATCAAACGTTAATCGGCTATAAATAAAATGAGTTGAATTTTAGCCGATTTTTGACGTATGCCAATCAGCTATAAATAATATAGGTCAAATTTTAGCTGATTCTTAGCCGATTTCTAGTGTATGCCAATTAGCTAGGCTGATTTTTTGATAATTTGTTGAATTTAGATCGAATTTAGGCCAATTTTTGCATATCTGAATTTTTTGATTTCGACCAGTGAATTATAAATTAAATTTAAAAAAGTTATATTTGTAATTAATTTAATAAAAGATTTTAATATAAAAGATCAAGGATTATTATTAAAAGAATATTAATTAAAAAAAATAATAAAACACAAAATTAAACTCAAATATAAAAAGCTAAAACTAATAAAATTAAAAAAAATGAGTTTAATATAAAGTAATTCTTTTATCATTATTATATATTTAAATTATAAGAGTTTGTGAATAAATTTACATTTTAGAATAATTTAAAAGATAATATTTATAAAACTAATAATAAAACATTATTTTTATTGAATTATAAAATTCTTTAATTAATTTGTAAAATTTTTACTTATAGTAAACTAATCTTTTAAAATCATATAATATTTAATCATATAATAATAATTGAAGAGTTAATCTAAACTATATATATTTAAAAAATTCTATTATTTATAAATAAAGTAATTATTTAACTAATATAATAGAAATGTTTTAAGATTTTTTGAAGTAAAGTTTATTATCTAAATATTTATTGTTAGATATATTAATATAATCTGCAAATAATAATTTCTAAATATTTGATTGATTAGTTTAAAATATAAATATTTATATTTTATTAAGTTTTTCTTAATCACTAACAATAATTATTCTTAAATAAATAAATTTAAAATAATATATATTTTTTATATAATACTCAAACAGTCCAGTCTTGATTATAGAATAATTTAAATCTGAACTGAATTGTAAACTGGTAAAATCTGAGTTGAACTGAAAATTTCAGATTAATCTGAAAGTTAAGTTTATTTAAAATAGTTTTTATTATTTTAATTGAATGATTCTTTTATTATTCTTTGAAATAAAGTTTTTATCATTCTAATTGAACAATGTTTTTATTATTTTTTTAGATGATACTTTATCATTCTTTTGGAATGTTATTTTTATTATTCTAATTAAACAATATTTTATTATTCCAATTGAACAATTCTTTTATTATTTTTTTTAGAATGATATTTTATTATTTCAATCAAATAATTCTTTTATTGTTTTAATTGAATGATTCTTTTATTATTTATTTGAAATAATAATTTTGATTTTATTGAATGATAATTTTATCATCCAATTGGAATGAATCAACCAAAAATTTTAGATTAACCTGAAAATTTTCAGATTGATTTTTATGCAAACTGAAACCAAACCAAAGTTGATTTAAACTGAAAATTTTTAGATCAATCTGAGTTTTATTCTTATACTATTCTTTGTTATATTTACCTATAGTTCCTGCTAAAAGTAATGGCAGTGAGGACATTATTTCATTTTTTAATCGCAGTATCTCTATTATCTCGATTTGATCTATTATTTATTAAGCTAAATTAGATATTAGAATGTTTATTTAAAAAACAAATAAACAAAAAACAGGTTTCAAAATATTTTTTTACTTACTTTTACTAAAATGCAATCGACATCTATAAAGAAAATCACAAAATTGTAAAGTTTCTTTGAAACAAAAATGTTCGTAATACAAGGGAAATTTCTACCTGAACTGGAATTCTCTTGTACTCTTGTGAAAGATATGTTACCTTTTTGCGAAAGAATGGTAACATTCCTGATATTTATCGACCTGATCGACCACAAAAATTGACCTTTAAAAAATACTGCCAAATCAGAAGGATCATCAAGTATGATCATTTCACTACAATAGGAGAATTGAAGGTCATACTTGAAGAAAAGGATATAAATTTGGAGATCAGTGAAATAACTATCCAGCGAGAACTTTATGATCTTAGTTATGTATCAGTTCTTTTCTGAAAAGTCTCTCTATTGACCCAGAAAGCGAAAGATGATCACTTGTCTTAGACACATGACCACTTGCATTACAATTGGAAAAAAGTGGTTTTTTCTGATGAAATCACAATTTAAATGTTTTTAATACTACCTGCGTATGGTTTAAAGACGAAAATTCTATTCAACCTATAGTTAAACATCCTTTCAAGATACATATTTAGGTCGCGATCAATATTAAAGAAAAGATCGGCATGCACATTTTTA